GCGCTGCCGCGTTCCCGTGCTGTTGCGTATCGCTTCTCAATACCGTCCTTTTTGGCAGAAAAAGGTTCTGCTTCCTTCCGGGCGAAGGGAGCCCAGTTGGCTCCTTCCCCGGAGACTGGAACTGTGGCAAGGTTGAAATTCAGCTGGAAACTCCCGCTTTTGGCATCGCTGAAGTAGTTTGGATTTTTTTTTTTTTTTCCTGCAGAACCTGCAGCGTCGGTGAGGGGGTGGGGCCGGTTATGGCAATTGGTATTGTTAGAGCAGTGACTCAGGTGAGATTTGTTAAGCCTTTTGCAAGCTAGCAGCATGCAGCCTTTTAAGGTGTCTAGCTTGAAACAATCGTCACTTCTCCGTCACGTGTCTGTGCCCTACCAAAACACCTTACCCAAATGTTTTAGAAGATGTGCGGGAGAAGGAGCAGGATGCAAACACCAAGAGGCATCCTGGAGGACTGGGAATCTAGCCTTGAAAAATGAGTAAATTGGTAACAGGATACTCGGTCTTACACTCTGCACTAAAACCACTCGTAATGCTCCCAGGTTTGACTGACTGCTTGGAACCAACAGGGGTCACAGGGATTGTTCTGTTCTGCTTCAGAGACTACACAGAGAAGGGTCTTGTAAATCACACTGAGAAACCTTTTCAAAGCCTGGGGATGGAGCCATACTATTAATACGTTCTGTTTCTGTACCCAAGGCTCTCTCATGTGCATATATGTTTATATAAATGTTGTATATAAACATTGAACTAGTTAATAGTTGTATTGCTTTTTACATTTTTGTAAGTAAAACATAACTGAGAACTAATCCTAGAACCCCAGACTTCGTGTAAGTAGGAAGATACACAAAGAAAAGTTTCTCTTAAACTATCCAGTCACTTCATCCATCTATTGAATGTTTCATACATTGCAATAAAATGTATCCAATATTTAAAACTCTAGATTTGTACAGGAACCCCACCAAATATTCTGTTGCTACCATACTTCCAAGCAAAGAATCTTTCAATTCAGAGTTTGCTTTGACCTGGATTATTTTACCACTAAAATACCGATAAAATAATGCTTACCTTAAAATCAGTGTTTATTTTCAAGGCACGGTATTACCTCATGTCAAAAGTTAGGCTACTTTTTTGCTGTTAGTACCTGAACATAAGATAATCTTGAAAACTTTCAAATTTTTTTTTTCTCCCTTTTGCTTAAGGATTTAATAGCAGATACTAAAAACTAATAACAGGCAAAAAAAAGAGCAGAGTGCAACACCTAGATGATATATGTCTGTCAGACATTCTGTAGCCGTTCTAATCCGATGTTTTCATCGGGAATTTTTTTGGCTTCTTCCGCTGGAGTGAGAGCAGTCAAAGAGAAAATCATAAAATCTGGTAATGCTAACTTAAAAAAAAAAAAAAAAAAAATAAACATTTTTAAGTAGAACAAAATTTCACCTTGGAAGTTGCTACCGAACATTTGCCAAACAGCAAGTGTAGACCATGTCTTGGATTGCACATTGCACTTCCCATAGATGCAATAAAAATCATTCAGTCTTAAGATAAAATGAAGCCACCTGAGTCTGCTTTTGTTCCTCTAGGTTTCGATCTAGCATATACACCAGTCGTATCTTGGGTGATAAGCACACAGTATTTTCTGTAGGAGTCTTACCCATTCTTTGCCTAGATAGACCATAGCTGCACAGGGAAACAAAGCCATTTGCCCATTCACTGAAGTCTTGCTTACCCTAAGCTGTCTTCCATATTTGACCCAGGATTGCAAAGATATGGCCTCCAGATAGAAAACTAATTTGTGGACTGTCATTTGCTGAGTATATGAGGCATTTGAAGATTACCTTTACATTCTAAGACCTTCAATCTGACTTGTTTGTGGAATTTTACCTGAGAAAAGGGAAAGGCCAGTAACAGTCATGCCCGAAATGCAATCTGACTAGGGAGAAGAATGAAAGGTTTCTGGGCAGAGGTCATATGTAGACAACGTGTTAATACTGGTAAGTAAGTGTCACTGGGGAGGAATTTCTTGTAAGCTATTGACTTTTTTATTAAGTTAACTGACATTCTTTCATCAGTGTTTATGACGTGTCTGAGTCTGGATGCATTAAACTAAACTACTCCGCTGCAATTTCATGAAGTTTTTTCCTGTTTAAGACACTCCCGGCTTCCTCTTTTTCCATGTCCCTTCCTTTAATTTTCTTCCCCAACTCTCCCTTGCCAAATGGAAGGAATGAACTAAGCAGAAACACCAGAGTTAATTGTTAGGAGTTACCTCAGGCTTGGTGTTTTCACAACAGGTATGTACTTCACTGCAGCAGATGAACAGGTTAGTAAGTTCAGATGCTGTTTACATGACACTCTTGAAGTCTAGAAGGAAGTCTGGCTGAGAATAACGTACAGCATTTCTTAGCCTCTTCCCTACTCCACACCCTCCTTTCTTGCCTAGTACAACAGGCATTGTGGGAGTAGATTTAGGTCTTGATCTTAATAACCACATGTAATTGCCACCCATACAGCTGACACCTATCCTTATAAAAGGACAGGTCTGTTATCAACAGGTGCAGTAATTCAGCTTCTAGCTTTTAAAAACGTAAAAAATTTAAAAAGTAAATGTATGGGAGAACTGCTATCGTAATGACTGAGCACAGTAGCTGTCCTACTTTCATCTCTCTCAGTATTCATGTGGATTCATTCATCTGTCTTCTGTTCCTCTAAGTGAATTTAAGCTACAACAGATCTAGCTGAAAATGAGACAAGTATTACAGAATTTATTTCCTGGAAGTCTTCCAATATGAATTACGGTAATTTAGTAAGATCAGTGATCAAGCAGGGTGTATGGGACCATGATACTTTTGAGAAAGTATCCTATAAACAGTTTCCTGTGCTGGTCCCATTTGCCTCTTTGACATGCTCAGAATGACATACTGTTTGATCAGTGCTCGTTACAGGCAATGTTTGCTGCAAATAAAATGAACAATTTACACGGATAGAAGCGATACTTAAAGTTGAATGGTATGGGTCTGCAACTATCGCACTAGTTACTCTCTATACATTGGAGATTCTTGTTACCGCAACAGGTCTGGTAGGTTTCAATGTGGGTTTACATTTTGAAATATAAATGGGCTGCTGCCATTAAAGAAACATGGGCTTACCAGACTGGCTGAGTGAACTTTAAATACAAACCACAGATCTCTTACACAAGAAAGCAAGAGTCTGTGTAGTTCTCTACCATAAGTACTGATTCTGATGTTGTCAGGTATTTATTTTGGTCTTAGGATCTGAAAATGCTTGTGAAAAGACTTCATTTATGTTTCTACGACAAGAGTTGCCTGTGAGATTGGCAAACATAATGAAGGAAATAAGCCTGCTTCCAGACAACCTCCTAAGAACACCTTCAGTTCAGCTGGTGCAGAGCTGGTAAGAACAGCATCATTTCATACCTTTAAGGGTGACCTTCTGCATATGCACAAGTTTGAGGAACTCGTTCTCTTCTATAGAAAGAACATTTCATGTGCTCGTAACATGAACATCACTTATTTAGACTGAGTAAAAATTCCAATGTGATATAAATCAGAAACTAAATTCACAGACTTGGAAAAAACCCTTTAGGAGCAATTAGAGAACGCACAGGGAATCAAAAATCATTAAGCAGATAGTCACGTATGAGAATTCAGTAAAAACAAAAACCCACCAGAACAATGTTTAACAGGGGACTTGCCTAAAATGAAGAAGCCAGTTGAAGAAACCAACAGAAGCAGGCTAATGCACAAAATGCTTGCAAAAGATAGACAGTAGAAACCATTTAAAAGACACGTTATTGCAGATTGGGAGTAAAGACAGAAAATACGAAGAAAGAGCAATAGGAAGCTCGTAAAGCCAAAGTATGTAAAACAACAGAAAGAATAAATGGCTATTAAAATAAAAAATATATCCTTTGAAAAGTAAAATTTGCTTTCAAGTAAGGGACTTGCACATAAGCATAAACTTTTGTAAGATGAAAGCAAAACAAAGAGATTGCTTGGCAACTGCTGAAGGCACATGGCTATCTGGAAAGGCTTTTAAAGTTAACAGTACAGAAAGTCTGCCAGTGAATAAGTGGGATTGATTAGATGACTGAATATAAAAAGAGCTGTCAATGAAGATGAAGGCTTTTAATGAAACATGAATGCTTAAATTCTCATGATACTAAATGACCATGTTCAAATGGGAAATGAATTCCACTTGGACAAATGCAAAGCAGAGCACGGAGAGGAACCTCCTCTCCCTGCATGTTTACTTGCTTACAATGGAAAAAGAAATTTTGATGCTACTGGGGATATTTTTCTGAATATGCTAGTTGATAGGCAAGAAGGCAAATAATGTTAGGAACTAAGTAACAAATGGGGAGGAATATAATTGTACCACTGTGTTAGCCCATTATTGCTCTGAACTGCATGCAGTTTTAGTCACTCCATCCTGAACGGAAAAGACCAAGAGGGATAATCAGAGGGTTGGAACAATTTCTACGTGAGCAGAAACTAAATAGAATTCTTCAGCTTGGAAAATACACGTCTAAGGAAAGAGATGGCAGAAATATGTAAGTCATGAACAAGCTGGAAAGACTTTCTAGTAACAGGAACTCGCTGGGACTGCAAATAAGAGATCACCTACTGGGTTTAAAACACAAGGAAGACCTTTCATGCATTCTAATTAAATTGTGGAATGCCTTGCTCTGGAAATTTTGGAAGAAAACATCATGAATAGATTCAAAAGGATCTAACAGAATTCATGGGGGATAGGTCAATGGGATATATCAAATACAATGATTTGGAAACAAGCAACCTTGGAAGACCATAAATTGCTAACCAAAGGGATCTGGAGAGGCATATTAGAAATGGTCTTTGTCATGTTTCTTTCATTTAAAGGTATGTCCAAAGTCTTCAGGAGATCCTTGACTTTAAGGACAGAAGTTCTGAAGATTCAGGGGCTATTCATAGGTAAGAATTTGCTGTCACTTGTGTTAATATTATGTAGAAGGACTGGCAAGAAAAAGACAGCTTAAGAAAAATTTCAGCTATCTCCAATCTTTACATAAGAATTGCAGTAATGTCATGCCCTGTCCCTAAAAAGAGGGTACATTAAAACATGAAGCAAAGCACTTCTATGCCATGTCATTCTGGTCAGGGCTTTTTTTGTTACACTGAAAAAGCTATGAATATGTTAAACTTATCATATAATCATGTAGCTTGGAAAAGACCTTTAAGATCATCAAGTCCAACCATTAGCCTAACACTGCCACTCCACCACTAAACCATGTCCCTAAGCACCATATCTTTTAAGTACCTCCACGGTACCCACTTCCCTGGACAGCCTATTCCAATGCTTAACAACCTTTGTGGTGAACAGATTTTTTCTGGTATCCAATCTAAACCTCCCCTGGCACAACTTGAGGCCATTTCCTCTTGTATTATCTCTTGTTACTTAGCAGAAGAGACCGATGCCCTCCTCACTACAACCTTCTTTCAAGTAGTTGTAGAGGGCAATAAGGTCTCCCCTCAGCCTCCTTTTCTCCAAGCTAAAACACCCATTGCCTCAGCCACTCCTCATGAGACTTGTGCTTTAGACCCTTCACCAGCTTCATTGCCCTTCTTTGGACACGCTCAAGCACCTCAGTGTCCTTCTTGGAGTGAGGGGCCCAAAACTGAACAGAGTATTCAAGGTGTGGCCTCACCAGTGCTGGGTACAGGAGAAGAATGACTTCCCTGGTCTGGCTGGCCACGCCATTTCTGATACAAGCCAGGATGCTGTTGGCCTTCTTGGCCACCTGGGCACACTAACAGCTCATATTCTGCCAGCTGTTGACCAACACCCCCAGGTCGTTTTCTGCTGGTCAGCTTTCCAGCCACTCTTCCCTAAGCTTGTAGCTTTGCATGGGGTCGTTGTGACCCAAGTGCAGAACCTGGCACTCGGCCTTTTTGAACCTCATACAGTTGGCCTTGGTCCATTGATCCAGACTGTCCAGATCCCTCTGTAGAGCCCTTCAATCCTCGAGCAAATCAACACTCCCGCCCAATTTGGTGTCATCTGCAAACTTATTGAGGGTGCACTCGATCCCCTCATCCAGATCATAGAATCATAGAATCGCTTTGGTTGGAAAAGACCTTTAAGATCATCGAGTCCAACCGTTAACCTAACCCTGCCATCCCACCACTAAACCATGTCCCTAAGCACCTCATCTAGCCTTCTTTTAAATACCTCCAAGGATGGGGACTCTACCACCTCCCTGGGCAGCCCATTCCAGAGCCTGACAACCCTTTCAGTGAAGAAGTTTTTCCTAATATCTAACCTAAACCTGCCCTGGCGCAGCTTCAAACCATTCCCCCTCGTCCTATCATCTGTTACCAGAGAGAAGAGGCCAACCCCCTCCTCACTACAGCCTCCTTTCAGGTAGCTGTAGAGGGCGATCAGGTCTCCCCTCAGCCTCCTCTTCTCCAGACTAAACAACCCCAGTTCCCTCAGCCGTTCCTCGTATGACTTGTGCTCCAGACCCCTCACCAGCTTGGTTGCTCTCCTCTGGACATGCTCCAGCAATGCAACATCCTTCTTGTAGTGAGGGGCCCAAAACTGAACACAGTATTCGAGGTGCGGCCTCACCAGCACCGAGTACAGGGGCACGATGACTTCCCTTGTCCTGCTGGTCACACTATTCCTGATACAGATCACTGATAAAATATTAAACAGAACTGGTCCCAGTACTTAGCCCTTGACCAAATGTTTACCAATTCCTTACTTGTAGTGTTGGATCTGATGTATGGAAATTTTCACCTGTAGAGTAGGTCTGGTCATCGTTGGCTGATCATAACTGCCATTTGACACGCATGGGATGATCTGCATGAAAATGTTGGGACAGTTTTCTTAGCAGTAATCAAGATGATAAATAAATAGTAATTTTATAATTAATCAGTAATGGTTGATTACTGATTGTTTCAGTGCTAGTTGCTTGAAATATGCTGTAAAGACTGACCTGTCTTCTTATTGCTGTAGGGAGACCGGTGATATTTCTGTACATACTGGTCTTAATTTTTGTAGGCAGATATTCTGTTTGCCTGAGTATTAAATTAACTTGAAAGTGAAATACTAAAAATGTATTCATTTTAGTTTTACAGATACTGTGATAAAAATCCGGAATCGACACAATGATGTAATTCCTACAATGGCTCAAGGAGTAATAGAGTACAAGGAAAGCTTTGGCATTGATCCAGTGACCTCACAGAACGTGCAGTATTTTTTAGACCGTTTCTACATGAGTCGCATTTCAATTAGAATGCTTCTTAATCAACACTGTAAGTGCCATTGTTGAAAGGAGGGGAAATGATACCTGTACTATGTCAGTATCATAGAATCACTTTGGTTGGAAAAGACCTTTAAGATCATTGAGTCCAACCTTTTACCTAACACTGCCATCCCGCTACTAAACCATGTCCCTAACATATAGTATATTTTCGTTTCATTTTTAAGTAAGTGCTTCATATGTACTTAAATTCTCCTTAGGAGTACACTATTTGCCTTGCTATTTATACATTCATTCTTAACACAATTCTTAAAATATTTATTAACAGTAGGCTTTAAAGTATGGTGAAGATTGGAATTATAGATTGCCTATACATTTCTTATTTAGCAAAACTGAAGACAAACTAAAATTACAAAATTATATTGGGTATTAAATAATATTTTCTTTTTTTGACAGCTTTACTGTTTGGTGGGAAAATTAATCCAGCTCATCCAAAACACATTGGAAGCATTGATCCTAGCTGCAATGTTGTTGAAGTTGTTAGAGGTAAATTCAGCAAATAAGAACAAGAATCCTGAAAACTTACATGAATGTCTATAGTGAGAGCCAATATACATCTTGATATTAATATACTGTTTAGTTCTTTCCTACCCGGGGCAGAAGTTTCATTTAAAGTTTAATATAGTTTTACCACTTTTCCCTATAAACCTAGTTTTTGTGAGAAAATACAAAATCTCCCTCCCAGTGCATGGTGTTTTCAATTTTTGTTTTTCTTTTTGGCAAACTGTAAAGGAGAAAACAAAAAGTGGAGGGGGAAAGGTGACTTTGTGTGGTTTTATTATAGATGGCTATGAAAGTGCCAAGAGACTTTGTGATTTATATTACATGAGCTCTCCAGAACTCATCCTTGAAGAGTTGAATGGTAAGTGAATATGGGACAAAGCACTCTCTTGTGAACATAGTGATGGCTTTGTCTAAAGTAGCTGGTGGTGAAATGTTCTCATTCCACTTTTCATGTAGTTAATGTGTTCTCTGTATCTACTGTCATAGTTTGGGATTTATTTTTTTTTTTTAATCTGGCAAAAGGCTTTCCCTATTCTTCCCTTTAATTAGAAAACTGAAATCAGTACACAAGTGTTTGACACTACAGCTGTTGACGTAACAGGTATTAGCAGCCTCCTTCTATCCCTAAGATTTTTGTATGTCTTGACCTTACACTGTCTATTGCATCTCACCCTCTCTGTATTTCTTGTGACACTTTTAAGATTTATACTAAAAATTCCATTCTAATTTCTCTTGCTTATTCAGCTATCATGTTCTTGATGTCTAATTAGATATAGTATACTCAAGATGTGGTAAAAATTATTTGAACCCATTGGCTGTGACTTGAACAAACAGTTTACAACTCAGAGGTCAGCTCTTGTCCTCATAGTCCTGAATGCTAAAGAGCCTTTCTGGCACTACGCACTAGAGTGCTTTTCAAGTTCGGACAGACCTACAAAAACAAGCAATCAAAATTGCTTCTACGAGTAATTGCGAAAGCCAAAGTGCAACCACATTAACTTTGCCTATGAAGCTAAAGGCAAAGAAAGTGTGGCCTTGATTACACGTTCCAGATCTCTTCTTCCTGCTGTACAAAACCTGTCATTCTGTGTCTAGATTAAAGGGCTTACCTCTCTTCATCTTCGGAGCATGATACTAAAAATGTCTGTAGGGAACTGTCAGTCACGCTAGCTAATTCTCTGTACTGAGGGGTCATTTAATGGTGTATGTGCTCCAGAAGCCAGAACAAATAGTTCAGTTTTTATAAAAGGAGCGACCTTTTGCTCAATGAATCATGAAGGTGAGTTCAACCTTATCCAGGCCAAATGCATATTCCTTGCCCACAGCTGAGAGTGAAGACCATTATTTAAACCTCAGGCATGGGATCTGGGGGTGGAGGCACGGAGGGACGCAGTTAACTTGAGGACAGGAACCTGACATATTTCAAAGTGTGATTCCCACCCCCACCCCACCCCCCTTTCATTTTTGCTGGGTACATAATTTGTTCTAGATCTTTTGACATCATTAGTCTTCAACATTTATGTTCATAAAGCACTGGTCACTAACAGTCTGGTGAGAGATAACTAATTTGTTGAACTGAAAGAACCTTTAAGAGCCAGCAGAATTTTCTGAGCAACCTTTCCTTAATTTTTGGTATAATGAATGTGTTCCCATGATACATTTTCTAGAATTTATTCTTTAAAAAAGGTTTGAAAACTACACCAGTTTTATACACAGAATTGACTACATATTTTTTGTTAAGGTTTCTTGTTAGAAATCAGCTAAATTAATCCAAGAATAGGCTGCACTGTAGTTAACTATTTGATGCATTACAGGATCGTAAGATAGTTTGGGTGGGAGGGAGCTACCAGGAGGTTTCTAGCCTGACCTCCTGCTCAAAACAGGGACAGCTGTGAGGTCAGACTAGGGTGCCCAGGGCTTTATCCAGTTTCGTCTTACAAATCCTCCAAGGATGATGATTCTGGGCAACCTGTTTCAATGCTTAACTGTCATGAAAAAGTCTTTCTCTGCATCCAGTCTGAATCTGTTATTTCACCTTACATTCACTGTTTCATGTTCTCCCACCACCTGAAGAGCCTGACTCTCTTCATGATAACCTCCTCATAGGTATTAGAACGCAACTACTACATGCCCTAATTAGTGATGCCACAGCGGTTTTAAGATTAATTTCTAAAGCAGCAAGCACATTCGAAAATCTTGAGTATGACTTTTGGTTAACATACAGCTTTTCAAAAGATTTATGTTCAAATTTTCCTTCTCTTGTAAATTCTCTCAACAATACAAATATGAATTACTGTGGGAATGAATAAAAGATACATAGTTTGCTATTTAATTATTTACTCTTTTTTTCTCTAGCTAAATCACCAGGACAGCCCATGCAAGTGGTCTATGTACCATCACATCTTTATCACATGGTTTTCGAACTTTTCAAGGTCTGTGCACTTACCATTACACAACTCTTGTACATCTTTGTTTAGTGAGATTGTATTTGTTTGACTTTTTGAACCAATTCTAGATAGCGGTGTGGTTTTGCAAGTGCAAACCTTTTGCTATTTGACTGCAGGAAGATACCTAAATTGTACTATTTAAACAGTAATTGTATAGAAAATGAACAGCTTTGGAAGAAGGTACCTCCTTTGCCTAGCCACTGAATACATCTGACGCATTCTGAGTAGACAGCTTTGTGAAAAAAATCTTAAAATGTATAAAGACATTAACTAATAGAAGAAGTGATTTTTGGGACATCTTCAAATCCGGTATGATGTGTAACAGGTCCTATAGAGCTTTTCTCAAGCAATTCAATCCTAGACTTTTTGTTGATCTTTGTCATATTGCATCTACTATGCATTATAAAGAATTCTACAAATAAAACTACATTAAAATATTCAGATGTTCTAAAAAAATACTTGAAGTCTGTGTATTCTAATAAACTATATAAATACTGACACTGCGTAAACTAGAAATATTAAGAAAACTCTATTTTAAAACCATATAGATTTGTCCTGATTCTGAAATACGTGATAAAAATAACTTTGTATATGATCTTAAAACATCAATTTAGGGAAGTGGTAAGAACAGGATTTAAATTGTACTTGAAAATTGCAGAATGCAATGAGAGCCACCATGGAACATAATGCTGATCGATGCATTTATCCTCCAATTCATGTACACGTCACGTTGGGAAATGAGGATTTAACTGTGAAGGTACGCACTTTCTTGATTATTTTGATTAGGTTTTTTTTGCCTGTCATAGGCAGCGTATTACTAACTTTAGCTGGTGATCTGGTTCCAACAATAGATTGTATGTGATGATGTAGTATGCAAGTAACAAGACCATTACCCAGTTTCACATACTGCATCAGTAGGAAATTCATGAAGAAGTTCCACAGTCACACTGAAGGCTCTGCAATAGAATTCTATGCTTTTGTCACACTCATGTCTTGCCTAGCTTATAAGCAACCATGACTAAAAATGGAGCATATTTATACAATTGCAATATCAGCATTTTATATGTGACAGTGACAGAGCTATACAGGTGTGAAACAACTGAAAAAAGGGAAATAAACATTGTATATTGCATGCAAATCAAATCTCCCTGACGTACAGTTTGCAGAGTAACAGCTTTTTTTCTGTACAACATCCATGTTGGATTTCAAAGACCAAGTGGAAGCACTGGCTTTTTCATAGGTCTAACTAAACCGTAGTAAACCAACTCCTCTTACTTACTCCTTCAGTAATAGGTTTTAACAGCTTGTATTTAACTGGCAGTATTCCTGAGGAATAAAGATAAGACACAGAACCTGGCATTTGCCAAAAGGTACTGACTTCAGACATAATTGAGTTACGAACAAGATAAAAGCAATGCACAATTTAAGTAGAATTTTCTTACTTCCAAGAGATTGTGAATACTTCTTATGGTAGTATTTAAATGGTTTGGATGAGGGATGAAAGGGAAGGATTCATCTTCTCTGGTCATTGCTGTAGCTGAGAGATGAGAATTTAAGAAAACCCATAATTTAATAGGGACAACTTTATATTATCTTTTACCTGACCTTCCCCTGGATTATTATTTGAGAAGCTGTCTTTTATAAAAATGTATTCAGGGACATAATGCTACATGTTCCCTCTTGTACCAGATGAGTGATCGTGGTGGAGGTGTTCCTACAAGGAAAATTGACAGACTGTTCAACTACATGTATTCAACAGCACCACGTCCACGTGTTGAGACATCACGAGCTACACCTTTGGTATGCATATCTTTTATACCTCGTAATATTGAATATGTTTAATTGTCACAAAAGAAACCATTTAGCCAAAGCTATGAAATACTGATTTTATAGATACAATGAGTATCACCATTTGAATGTTATAGCTTAATTCAAGTATTTTTCTGAAAATAACTGGAAAATTGCATAAAATCCTAAAATTAAAAAATTATTTAAACTTGTTCAAGATTTTATTTTTCTCTACCAAATATAAAGATCAGCTACCTCAAGCAGAACACTTAGCTATGCTCTTTGTACTGCAGTAAGGACAATTCTGGTTGTGGCCACTGAATGAAAGGAAAAATGATCATAGCAATTATTTCGGATCAAGTCCATAGTTTTGCTTGTACTGTGTAGTAAGTCTTACCATCCCCCAGCAAGGATGAAGGTATGTGGATGTGACAGGACGTATGAAGAACTTCGGTCTCGTGTGAACTTAATAGATGCACAAGAAATAAAGCCTTTAGCTCTCAGTAAGAAGTTCTGAACAGCCTTCCTGAATTTATTCTCTCACATCACATAATTCAAAATGGTTTTTTTAAATTTATATAGTGTGTTCTGCATGAAGATGACTATGCAACTCATTAAACACTAGATCTTTACAGAGAAGTGTTGTGTATTTTCATTGAGAAATTACCTCTAAAATTTAGTAGATTAAAATACAAAGATAAAAAATTATACTTAACACTTCAGGGCTATGTCCTGCTACTGCAGACAGGGCTTGATAGAATTTTAGTATAAGCTACACATTCACAGACATTGCTTCTTGGACCTTTTTTTGTATGTACTGATGATGAAAAGTATCTGACATAAGTACTCAGTGTTCTTAAGACTAGCAGCTCCATAAGGCAGACTCAGTACGGTTTTCTCTGATGGTGTCATCTCTTCTTGAAAAAGCTACTGTAATACAAGTAGTAGTATCTAGCAGCCCTGTCTGACAAAGGAATAAAACAGTTTTCTCATAGTCACAATCATCCATGTATTCTTCCATTATCGGGGTATATAATAGTTTGGGGGGGCACATTTGAACTCCTCCTTTTACTGTCAAACATCATGATTAGTTTGTCTGTTTAACTATTAAGTTGAAACAGAAAACACCACTGATGGATGCAATTAATGAAAATAGACTTTTTCTCCTGGATCAGGCTGGATTTGGTTATGGCTTACCCATATCACGTCTGTATGCACAGTACTTCCAAGGAGACTTGAAACTGTATTCCTTAGAAGGCTATGGAACAGATGCAGTTATTTACATAAAGGTATGATGTAACACACTACCATTTTAAATTTATCAGCAACTCTAACTGCTAATGGAATTCCTTGTTCTGTTACTATAACTTTGATTAAAAAGAATAGGCAGCTACAGTCTTCTCTACTTACAGGCCTTATCAACAGAATCCATTGAAAGACTCCCTGTATATAACAAAGCAGCCTGGAAACATTATAAAGCAAACCATGAAGCAGATGACTGGTGCGTGCCAAGCAGTGAGCCAAAGGACATGACCACTTTTCGCAGTATATAGCTTTTTCCTCAACAGTTCATAAGAAGTAGGTATGTCTGTAAAGGGAATTTAAAAGACCTGATTTACACCAAGATGCTGAGCCACATTTGATATGTGAAACTAATTTTAAGTGGAGTAACAGAAGTTTAATTTTTTTTTCTTTAATTCCAGAAAAGAGTAAAGCCAAGAAAAAACCCAAACCTGTACATACTTTTAAACTTTAAGAGAGAAGGTCACACTTTATTTGTTCCACTTTCTATTTATGACTACTTTCAGTAGCCAAGTCAAGGGAGCAATAATTTGGGGTTTTATAGGGACCAAGGCAATCTATATCACATCTGGTGAGAAATGTATTAATTCATATAATTACAAAACTGTTTTAATAGAAGAACTATTGAAAAAGCTCACCAGACCATTTTTCCATTATACAATATTACAGATTAATTAAAAACTCATGTAAGAAATATTGAGGAGCTCATTGCTATACCTTTGCACCCATATGGCACTTTCTATTCTTTTATCTTAAGCATGCTGAAGCTTAATTTTGGGAAGTTGGATATGTTGCCTACATTATGGTTTTTTGCAGCTGTAGAAATCACACTTAGGTTTGTAGCAATTAAAAAAAAATCAGTTCTAGCTGCTACCATTGGTATAATGTATCTCAGGTATGTGGTATAAGTCGTATTTCTTTGGTTGTAATGTGAATATTTAATACATGTGAAAAACTTACCTTGCCATGATCATTGTGAATTAGGAAGTAGTGTTGGCTTGTGTATAGTAAAGATATGCATAGATTTCTGTAGGCAGTACCAAAACGGAGTATCAATGTTCTAGCCCTAGTAAGATCTCAGACTCTGTTATGTCAGGTTACAGCTGTAAATGGAAACTATTTTAAGAAACAGATTTTTAAAATTTGCCCTTAATAGGGCATCTCTGTTACTCTGACAGTAGAAACTACCTTCTCAGGACTATTTAAGAAAAAGTGGAATTAATGTTTTTTGAAAATACCTTTGTATTTGTGATCTGCTTCTGGCCTCATGTATGTAGTAACTGGAAGTCACACTATAACGTAAATATGGTAAGCAGAATGTGTTTATCAGTCAAAGGCAAACTGTCAAAACATACTGGGGAAGATAGAGAAGGGAATGAGTGCTACATTTCAGGTACAAAGTCCTTCTTTTAATAAAGGATTAAACTTCTTTTAATGCCTATTGTGCCAGCTTTGTTCAAATTATACACATTTATATTGTATCTCTATCCCTGTCACAACTGAACATATTAGGAGTGACGCAGTTAAAGACACTGAGAACTAATCTTTTTCTCAGTTAATTCATTGCATGTAATTTGTGATTTTTTTTTCTGCAGCAGACATACATAATCCCTCTCTGAAAGAATAAGCCTAAATTTTGCTAGTTTACTAGCTCTGCACAGAGGAGAAGTTGAGATACTACAGGTGAAGGGAATAGGTGGTATGCTAGAAATTGAAGTCATGCTATTCTAGTTGTAGCTAAACCAGATTAAAGATTATCACCTGCTACCTCCCCAGGCTAGTTCTGCAAAACAATAGAATGGTTTTATACCCTGGTCAAGCTAGCACAGTCACTTTAACAGGAATGATTTACAGAATGGGCTATATACACAGTTGAGCTGTCACTCTGAGGGATTATTCTCGCTTAATTGCCACCAGACCAGTACAGTTACCTGCTCCACTCAAGTTTGTGGGCACTTTGAGAGGTCCCTATTTTTCTTCTTTACGAGGATGTGAGGTGGTGGCTTGCATATCTTTCAATCTGCATGGCTACAAGTGAGGAGAAGCTATAGCTGTTCTCTTCTTCAACCCTGCAAGAGGATGTATATGAGAAATTCCACATATTGTAAAATGGGGCCTGTAAAACAGTTAGAGGGAATGCTTGCAGCTATTGCTTTTGCTAAACTAAAGCTGAAAGTTACAGCAAGGGATTTTAAAAACTCAACTCTGAGGCTGAACGTTCTAGCTTTTACACTAAGTTTTAAATGTTTAACTTAATTGAAGTTATTTTAGTAATATCTGTGAACTAAAAGAGATGTTTCTGAAGAAAAGCTAACAATTTGTTTTCTAGAAAGTCTATTCAAATATTTCATACAGTATTATTGAAATAAAACATCTTTCATGCTCTTGGCTAGCTACTGATTGAATTCTGATTATTAGAACGACTTGCTGTGTAGTTATCTTTGTATGTATTCTCCTCACCCGCCACCCTGAACGATTGTGGTGAACACACAAATGCATTAATATTTTGGTTTACAATACTTAAAAGTTTGATTACCTTTGATTTAAATAGAAGTTCAGAAGATAATTTTTGTGTTTAATATTTTCTTTACTGTACTCAAGTCATTGCTAGCACACTGGTTAAGTTGAAGTGAATCACTGTAGAAAATCAGTATACTAGCTCAACTATCAAAATGCTGAGATTAATAGTTTTATATGCAAATGAGCTCAGTCTTGCACTATAAAATTAATCTTGGTTTGTGTTAAGGTAATTTTTTGAAAGAATCACTACATTTATTCATTAAAACTATTTTAAAAATTAAACTTCCAGTTGGGTGGTTTTGTGGCTTGGTACTAAGCTAGTTCTGTGGAGCCAGCCTTCTCATTTAGCATCTGACAGATGTTAAATGCTGTGGTCTGTGGCCATCAGTGTTCTTATGCTCAGGTGCCAGGTGAGTTTATCATCCCTGCTGTGGCCCCTGTTTAACTACAGCACAACTCTGCACACAGGCAAACTTTTGAAACCATTATTTCTACTAGTCTCCCTCCTGAGAAACAAACTCTTCACAGGGTGCAGCATTCAGTCCACCAGGCTTAACAGAAAAAGGTAATACATGGTTGTATCAATATTCTTTGTTCTAGGTGAAAGCACTTAACTGAGAAATAAGCTTCCTTGACTGAATTCATCAAAAGGTAGTTTTATGTGTGTGATCCTAAGCATTTAATCATTCTGTACTTCTAATTCCCTTCTCCTTTATCAGTAGGGCAGCATTCCTCTCTGGCTCAACTAACTCAACAAACTCTGCAAGTTTGGAGTACAAACTCAAAGCTACTGGAAACAAAGTAAAAACGTTAAATGTTGACCAAAGAATTGTTTCTTAATGCACAAAACCAAAAGTTGAACAAACCTATTTTTAAAAGTAATTATTACCAAGATTTTCAAACTTTATTTTGGAAATGCACAGTGTGCAGAAGCATTTCCACACAGTCCTTTTGTTGAAATTCATAAGACATTTATACAAAAAAATAATAACTGTGAAACACCAACAGTGAAGTTCATTCATTTAATTAAAATGAAAACCAGTCCATAGATTTAAAGGAGAACTTGGTCCACACAAACGAATGATGCAAGTTTTGTTCTAGTCCATTCTGTGGTGGAATTGATGTTTAAAGTAATCTGTGTTTCTGGAATAAACTCATTAAAGGAAGTGCTGTTGTAGTATTTCTAGAAAATAGTATGTAAATATACAAAACACCAATTCATGTTCTAAACTATTCTGAGAATCAAATCCTCCTTTAAAGGGAAATAATCTGTAGTCTACAATCAAACACTTAAATACAATGCAGAAAACCAGTGCTTCAGTGATAATTTTTCCTACAATCCTTCCCTTAGTATTTTAAGTTTGAAAAACAGTATAGTTTAAAATTAGCAAATATATAAATTTGGTCCGCAAAAATCTTGTAGCAGGTAGAAAAGAGAAATACATGTATTGCAAATTGATCTTATCACATAAATCTATAAAACTATGTATTATTTAGGAAAAATAGGTTAAAAAAGATCTTATTTATAGGTATAAACCTTGTCCCAACACCATACGGGTAGTGTACAGAAAACTTAGTATTATGCTTAGTATATGTAGTTTGTGAAAACTACTTAATATTTCTTGTTATCTTCTCAGTAAATTGCAACACATAGGATTCAAAAACAATGTGCTACTACAGTGAACTTTGAATGAAAAACCCAGAAATACAAGACTTTAAACAAAATAATCCATAAATTTGAAATACATGCTTTCTTTTTAAATTAATTTGACATTACTGTTTTCTTAAACTTAATTTTTACTATACATCTTTAGTGGCAACAGATAAACAGACTGTCACAGACTGAAATGGTTGGCAGGATTTTTCTGTCGTCCCTCTATTAGATTCAACTCTATCACATGCTAGTTGACTAATATTGGAATGATTTTTAATACAGTATTCTACTTTTCACAAACATCAATTTCAATGAAAAGGGCATATGAGGTCTTAGAAGCACAAGTATTACTTAAGGCAGAAAGTTAAATTATTGTCTATTAGTACAGGCAGAGTCAACTAGGAATAAAAATACTGAAAACATTACTAATTTTATTGGGTTGCAATAGGGAGGGACCGTAATTAAAAAGTAAAAAACCACCTACCACGTTAAACTGTTGCACTTTCCCTCCTCCCTCAATTGTACAGTTATATACAAATCTGCTGAACTTCCTCAAGATGAAGCAAGTCTTTGCTAAAATAAAACAGGGTTGTCTTAGCAGCTTGATTCAAGAGTGGTTACCACTCTGCCAGTCTTGCGAACTTCTCTCTCCTTCTTTTGAACCTTTTCCTTCTGCTTCTCCAGTTTTTCTTGTGCTTTTCTAATATCCTTAATTTTTTTCTTTATTGTTGATCGATCATTTTGACTGGAAACTCCCAAAGCCTTTGTTGGGGAAAAAAAAAAAAAAAAAAAAAGAAAAATACCTCATCAACACTTCCAACAGCACTGTCAACAGTGCTTGTGCATGAACAGTTTAAGAAAATGTTATTCACTTTCCTGCAAGATAGTCTGATTGTTTGAAAAATAAGGATGTAAGTCCTCAAGAGCATTGTAAATGATCATCCGAGTAACATGGTAAGTAAGGAAACAAGGGCCTACTCTTATTAGGTTGTAAAGTAACAGCTTCTCATAGCATTTTACAAACACGTAGACACCTGAGAATTTCCAGCAAATAGCCTAATAAGTAGTAGACTCAAAAGATCTTTTAGTTTTTTTATACAAGAGGAATTTATATTCAGTAACTACTCTTTAATTTTTAATACTAAGGATTTTAAGGTGTATTTTTAAAAAGTGTATTCAGTAAGTAAACGGCACACTTATTTTTGATCAAAAGGTGGCAGTACCCAATTCCAAGTTACAGACAGCACTCACTCGCACTCTATGGAACTCATAATGGCATTAAGTGTAAATTAAGCTTTAAGCATCAGCATCCAAAGTTCCCCAAAAAGAGACAGTCATTTGACAGACCAGTAACCGATATTTCCCCTGTGTCCAAGGAGATATTTATTTACCAAAATACAGGACATTTAGTGTTGCATATCTATTCTAAAATGCAGGTATATCTTGGATACTGAAGTTAGACAATTTTTTTTTCCTCCCTAAAACACCTAAATCTGCCTTATGCCAGAATAAACCAATGAACCTCATTTTAGTCACACATCTTGCCTGTCCAAAATGCAGTCTGATAGTCTAATGAGAAAGAAAAACCTGAAGGAGTTCGCTAGCACTGTAAGGGATATACACCATGCAGCCTCCAGAGGTAAAATGGCAAGAAAAGGATCAAAACATAAGATTTAGAATAGATTTTTTTTCAGCAGGAGTAAAAACCATAAACATTTAAAAGGTCACCAGATAGGATTTTAGCCTTCTCATTTGAAGAAGAGATGTGGAAGAAACAGATTGCTAAAACTGGATCCTGCAACTCTATGCATTTGAATTGGCTAGATCTTGCTTTGATATGACCTTATGCTGAGATTGATGATAGTTCTATCGAGCCACTTTGGGGAATTACACTTACTTTGATTTCCTCAAGATGCAAACAAAGAAGAAATATGTGATATTTTTCTGATTAAAACCAGCTTGTCTTTAATTGTACAATCAATTACTAAATTTTCATCTAACTGCATAGTCTCCAAGTATTTCAAAAGCAACACTCTCTCCCTTAAAAAGCCATGAAAACAGGTAAATAGACTTTGTAGGTTAAAAATATATCTGAATAAGCAGTGAAATGTGTACAGTTGCAAATCTATCCTGGGATATTCACATACCTTTAACTTCTCACTGTCGAGCTGCATTAACTGCTGTCCATCTACGTTCATAGCTGTGAACTCTGTGATATACTGCTCCATGTTCATTCCCATTAACCAGTGGCATACTTGCTGGGTGGTCCATTCGGAAATAGGTCTACTGTGCCATTGGTTTTGCTTTCCTGTTGTTGTAAATTCATCATCTAATGCCTAACCAATTGAGAAAAGTCACCGTAAGCAATGTTTTACTTGACAATATGTTGAATTCCAGTTGCCTATTGAGTTTGATTAACAAAATGCATTTTTAAACATATTCTAGCTCCAAAAGGACTTAAGTTCGTGAGACCACAGTTTGCTATAAAGAAAAAGATACTACAACATTCAATGCAAACTAAGTCAGAAATATAGAACACAAATGGCTTTCTCTAAGAAATTATATAGCAAAGCATTCACTTGAATTTGATGTACCCTAACAACAAACAGTCAGTCAGTTAAGGTAGCTCAAACCTAATGTTAGATACTCCTCACACAGCATCAAGAAGAATCAAGTAGCCCTTCAGCTGTATTACTGATTAGTGTTAAGTGAAGGAAATCCATGATAAAAGCAATTCTAGTAGTCAGTAAATCTGGTGACTGTTCCAGGTACGGTTTTACTAACTTTGGTGCATTTCTAAAAAGAGAGGACTGTTCATTCTTTCATTGAATGCCATCGCGTCAACATTTTAAAGGGCCTGCTCAGTAGAAGACCGTTTCAGAAACAGAAGAGCTCGTAGCTTTCCACTGAAAATACACTTTGCCAGCTCACAGAGCTTTTGAAGCTCCCTGCTTCAATTTCAGTTGGCTTCTGAGAGGAAAAAGGTACTGCTGTTCATCCCGAAGCACTCTATTACTTCATCACAAAAGAAAAGTTACATAAAACAGAGCTCATTGTACAGAAGAAATTCTAGTGCAGTACTTGGATCAGTAACATCAGAGTTACCTGAAGTTTTATTAACTATCCAAAATGATCTCTCACTAGCTCATAATTGAGTACAGGCTGCATTAGACTTGTGGACTGCTCCACTAGGCAGCTTCCACTACTTAGCAAAGGTATTTGCAAACCAGTGGAAAGTATGCCCGCTTTTCCCAGTGAGCCTTAGGTAGGTCATTTGTAAACAGAAAACATGGAAATAAGCATCTTTCTAGTAAGGGATTTGAGATGTGACCCTGTAAGTTTCAGGTGAACAACTACAGCTCACAAAATGCAACTCCCGTGACGGAAAATTTGGGCAAATTGATTGAATGGAACAAAGTAATTTTGGCGATTGCAAGTTAAAGATAGTGCAACATAGGCCTGTCACACGATCCGATCATACAGTGAACTGGATCTGAGTGCAACATGGAACACACGTCTGACATGAAACAAATATAATTTAAAATTTCCAATGTATCAGAGGAGTACATGTAATTAGAAACGTTTTTGCTTTCCCTGGTCTGTGAAACAAAGGGCAGTGGTTACATTAGGAGGTAGTGCAGATAAATAGGAACAAGTTTGTAGAGCAGAACAGTTTGTGCTGAGGTCCTAAAATCCATACTACAAGCATTTCAAAGGATTTTCACTTCTGAATAGCTCTAGTCTGGTCCCACAGACTCAATGGGTGCTAGCAGCTGGAATGTGCCAAGAACATCGTTGGAGCACACCTGATTTGATTTCCAAGATAAATCAAAGTAAGGCAAGTGGGGACAAACAGAGGAGATTTACTTAAAAAAAAAAAATGAACTCCTGATCCAAATGAAAATGCTTATGTAGCTATAACAAGTGTGAGCACATCCACCTTCTTGATGTGCAAAAGAATAGCAATTTTCACAAAATAACAGCAAAGGGCCCTAGAAGAGGTTTTCCTTGAAGTGCTCCATACAGCATCTGTATCAAGACAACTGAGGCACAGTGAGTTTTCTATCCAAGCTATAAAGCTTGAGAAATGCTGAATCTTCTTTCTCTGTATGAAGTGTAAATTACTAAAGGAATTTCAAAATCCCCATTTCTTTTAAATTGTGTTAGATAGCGGTACTCCTCAACCTGATACTGTAATACAAAATATGTACTGGTAACTTTTTATTTTGTCTCACATTAGCAAGTGTTCATGAATAATACACAAAAAAGGGGAAACTTTTTACATTTCAAGTTTGACCTGAATCTCAGCTGTGTGTGGTCTATCAGCAGCAAGGAATACTAAAATAAGTATTGCCACATAGATATTTTTTATATTTATCTACTTTTATCCTTTAGGGGGTGGGTGGGTTTAAAACTGCCCCCTTTACACTGAGAAATGTGTAAAATGTTTTATTCCAGTTGGAACTCACTCACGAGTTTTATTTAATCTGTGCTAGCCATGCAACTTCCCTCTGTAATTTCAGAGGTAAGTAAGTACTTGAAGAAGGTGTACTCCTGTCAAACAAAAAGGTGCAGGTTAATTCATTTCACCAGGGGAATGCAGTCCCCTGACAGAATCTTGGGGACTCTGCAACAGTTCCTCCAAGCAGCACAGGTTACAGCAGCTAACAGGCTGTACCATGGAGGAGTCCACCAGGCTCAGCTACTAATTCCAGTCTAGGCTTTCAGCATCATCAGTTGCTAACAAACTCCTCTTAAGTCATGTTGGTAAAGACACAACCCTAAAAGCTGAAGTTGTACCAAAAACTGAATCTGTGTTAAAATACTTAGACATCATCTCCTCACAGAAGGAAGATACTTGATTCTGTATAATTGAATTTTTCACTACTGCACAAAGGAAAAGAACATCTGTAACTTTTTTCAAACTATCAATAGCAAAGTAAAAAGTATAGAAGAATAACATGAAGAACACTGATTTTTGAGTAATGCTTATTGGTCATTAAATAACACCTCTACGTAATTTTTTTCCCAATTGTTTACCATCCTTCCAGAGGCAGGGGGACTTTCCTGAGCTGTTTGTACATCAGAGTTACAGTCCCCAAAACAGCCACCACACATCCCCACAAGATCAGCTGCTAATTCAGAAAGCAGAACTAAAACTAATTATAAGGTATAGAGCATGAAAAAACCATGTGCTCCTGCAGGTGATTCAGAAAGCAAGTACAGAAATACTGAAGGCTCTAAAGATGAAAATACAAAACTCAACACCAATGCTATCACACCATTTAACAGATTAAAAACTTTAGAAGGGTAAGAGGGATTACCAGCTAGCTTGCTAAACAACTAGGAGTGGAGGTGCCTTTGATGCAACTGGCTGGCTGTAACAACCTAGCCCTCACCGCACCACCACTTCCCCAAACTGCCTGTGAGTACCTGCCCAGTGGAGGCAGACTCTTCAGTACTGCTCTCCTCTGGATTTCTAAGAGGTGTTTCCATCTACTGTCTACTAACAACTTCAGGATTTGTAGGGCAGCATGCAGTAGCCCATTCCTCCAAAAGCAGGGGCTGTTACACTGGCTAGCATGATCCCTGCTGGATGTTTATGAACACATCCAAACAACAAGCACCAGGTAGAAATTCTACAGCTTTGAGTTTATCATTATCCTCAGAACAGACCCTGATAAGCAGCGCAATTACTGAACAGGTACAAATGACTTTCAGTGGTCATATGCACAAGCAACATATGAACTAGAGAGAACAGGAAAATCAGACTCATCTATAACAAAAATAAAAAGGCTTAAATCATCACTTTACACATGCACAGTTAGTAATAGACAGCTTTCGTCTCAGTTTTAGAACCAGAATTTTACTGAAAGTTGTAATGCTGATCAAAGAACAATATTCAAGAAGATATTTAGCTTTGCTAAAATCTTATGATTTATACTACTTGAAAGTTTTAGAAACACATATTCATGAACCATTCCATTCACAAAACTGCAGGGAGCACTTGCAATGACAGATATTAACTGGAGTTCCTCAGGTTTTCATTAGATCTATGACTGTCATGCCTGATACAAATCTGTAAGAAATTAATCCACTACTGAAACCTGTAAACTGCTTATACAATTTTTGATGCCCCAGATTTTTATGTAGCAATTTAATATTTATAACACTGTAAGACTTCTGACTTTCTACATGTTACTGGAATATCTTAAGATTTTCACCAAAGCCTGGTTTAAGATGGCTAATAACAAACCCCCACATTCATGAACCACCTTTTTTTTTTTTTTTTTTTTTTTTTTTTTTTTCCCCCAAACACTATCACTACCGGTTTGGCAAGCCCTCTAACTCATTTCTGGAAGATGACTGTGTTCAATTTTTAATGACTCCTCCTAGTCTATAAATGATTTAATTTATAAAGACACCCATCAGTGAAACACCACATGAGACACCATCTCAGAATGTTACTGAAGTGTGGACTTTGGGTTTCGGCTGTAGCCAAAGCAGTTAGTTCTCCAGGGGAATGAACACTGACTTTCAGGTATCTAGTTTTTCCCTATATGTCAGAACCACTATATGCTTTTTCCCCCCCCTTTTTTCTTTTGTTTGTTTTTATTTAGATGAAATTTTATGGTAAAACAAACCTGCACAGATGTGAAAGCAAGGTCAAAATCGCTGCAGTTTTCATTCACCAAGGAGGTTGCTTTACATTAGTGGAACGGAAAGGTGTTATATTTAAAATTAAAAACTGCAATTTGATCAGAGAGAGTTCATTCCGATTTTTATGATGTAACTAGGATCAGAACACAAGGGCTGATATGGCATCTACTAGTCCGTGTCCTTAGTTCAGTAACAGCTTGCAGTTCTTTACAATGGTCTTCAACATTCAAACACAGGAACAGCCATCTAGTTCCACATTACACAAATCTGTGTCTATTAAACATGCTGTAGTGTGAACAACAACATCCACAAGACACATATACACACTTTGAAACTCACCTCATTTGAAGAGAAGGTTAAAGTGTGTGAGCGACCTGACAGATTTGGTTCTGTCACTAACCCTGAAAGTTCACAACTTGGCTTGCTATGGTATGTATCATCTATGACAATTCTACTCTGCAAACAAGTGGAAATAATGTTTTATTAACTCGCTCCTTGGAAAAGCAGGTCATAAGGTGACATTCTAGTAATTTTTATTTTTGGTAAAAAAAATACAAAATACTATGACCCAGTTATCTTTAGATCACATATGAAATGCACTCACTACAACAAACATCTGACTTGTTTTTGTTAAACTTCTGAATTTGAAAACACAGTAACAAACTTAAAGCAATATCCCCAGTACGAGTACCTTGTGTGGAGAATCGCTCATAACCTGAAACGGTGTTAAAGTACACAAGGAAATACATGTGGTTATGTCTTCAGCAGTCATACTACACTCTGGGAGAAGCAATTTAAGATTCATTTGGTGGAATTATTCATGCCACATTTGTATTCAACTGAAACCTACGCAAGCACTATGAATATCCTTCAGAAGGTGCTGTTCTGTCGGCAAGATAAAAATCAGTCCTAATTGTTTATGGTCATTAAGATTCCAATGGCACCCAAGTGCTCCCATAACTTAGAAAGTTTCTGAAAATGAGAACTAGGTTTAGACTTCATAGCCGCCCACTATCAAACCACTGTGGTTAACAGTGAAACAAATAGGCTGCCTTTGCCTGACATACATTGAGAACTAGAATAGCAAGAAGCTTTCGGCAGCTTGCAAAGTGGGTTTAAATTTGTTCATGAATAGAGAATACAAAGCTTGCCTAAGGACAAGCTTTCCCATAACTTTAAATTCTAATTTAAGATAATGTTTTGTATAGGTGTTAATTTTAATAGTTTCAGTGAGGGTGGTGAAACACTGAAACAGGTTGCCTAGAGAGGTGTTAGATGGCCCATCCCTTGAAACATTCAAGATCAGGTTGGATGAGGCTCTGAGCAACCTGATCTGGTTGAAGATGTCCCTGCACATTGCAGGGGGTTGGACTAAATGACCTTTAGAGGTCCCTTCTACTCAAACTACTCTGATTCTATGGTTCAGTTTTGAGGTGACTGCATTCGAGGCACAGAATCATGTAATCTGAAAATTACCTTGATACGAAAAATACCACATAGATGTAAGAGATATTCAGAAGAATTTTTTTATAATAAAGGGACTGTATCAAGCTATGTAAAAATCTTTATAGTTAAAGACCAAATAGTGTAAACACACTATAATAAAGCTGAAGTTAAACACTTAGATGTCTTTACAAAAAATAATTTAACACTGTAAATCTACAGCAATTATGCAGCTTAACAGCCTGAATAGATTATTTTCAAAACAGAAAATTCTTCTGAAATAAAAGATTGACAAATGTATTCTTTTAACAAATTAATAAAGCACTATTAATTTTTTAAAAATACGTAACAAAGTAAAACTCAGGTTAGAAATATGACTAACGTAAGATCTATCATATTGAAAGAATGTAAAATTTTCATAGCATTTACTGTTTACATTCAGTTATTACACTTAGTCTGTGTTTAAAGGAAGCTTTTGGATCTGTACACCTGCCTTAGCATCTAAAAGCAGCAGGATCTAGGTTCACACTTATCCAGCAGCCAGTACTTGTACAACCTCAGGTAGGTTACTGTCACTCAAGCTGAAGGCTATGAAAAATACAGATGCTACACCTGAAAACTTCACAGAAGGTTTAATAAGAAAATCCTTCTAAAGAATACTTATGTATGTGGTTCCCAGAATATTTTCAAATTTGATTACCTCCATTTCCAACTCAGATCCTGACATCCACGTTATTTTTCTTTAGTGAATGAAAAATAATTCTGCCAAAAGCATGCCTCCTACTTTTGCCTTTCTAGAATTTATTTCTCAGCACTGCTCTTTATTGCCTGCAAACAGTAAGCAATTATTTGCCATTTTCTCTAATTTTCTCTGAGTCTCTAATCAACTAACTATACTTTGTAAGGATGTCATACCATATCCCTTCATGCATACATAATCTGAGATCCTAAATTAAGCTGATGTTAAAGACATTTTTCTTCAGTAACTTATGCTCTTATAAGAGAACTATGTTTTTGAAGTTGTCTTCATTGAGCACTTCTGTATTTGTGTTCTGATTTCAGTTTAACCTGAACTCTAAATTTTCTAGATTATTCTGTTTTTTTTTTTTTTTTTTTTGGGGGGGGGGGAGCAGATACTTGATCTTTGCAGTCCCTTTTACCCTAAATTACTGATATGCATTTCCAGTCTTAAAAAGAAAAGGAAAAAAAAAAGGGAAAGAAAACCAAAAACCAACAAGAACCCCCCAACCCAACAAACAAAGAACCCCCAAACCACAACTTGAGTTTTTCTGCTACCTTTTCATGGAGAGTGGTACTGTATGTGACTGAAAAATGGTGTTCTATTTACCATGTAGATTATTTTATTGATTTAATTATATTTTAGGGACTTCTTCAGTCTTTTAGATGTAAAAAGAATTACCAGAAACAACAGAGTACTTTGTCCATCCGCCTATTCTCAAGTTAATCTCAACCCAAACTGAAAATCTATTTAGGAGTTTTTCTTTTAGCCACCCTTCAGTTCACTCTTTCTACCTTTGTAGAGCAATCAAGAACAATTCAGAAACAAAATTGTACAAAAAAATAAAAAGAGACAGGATGATACTGAGCAAAATATTTATGAGACCTCAGGAAAAAAATATGAAGAAAACATAGCCAAAAGTAAAGCATCTCAGCACCAGTTGTAATATTTTCTCCTCCAGCTGCTCCTACTTGGTTTAAAGTAGTAGTATATTCCTTTTAAAAGTATTTAGAGCCAGTTGCAAAGATTTTTGATTCTTGAACAGCACACAATTTGCGTAGAAGTTTTATAGGTATGTTTCCTAAGATTTAAGGTACTAGAATATAAACAGCTTACACCACAGTGTTCTTCCTTGCAATGAAAATGAAAACACTGCATACAAGCTTACAGAAGCTAAATAATGCTCTGGAAAAATAATGATTATGAACAGCATGCATGTGTTTGTATCCTATCAGAGAATGGGACTAAATCAAGGGGCAGAGTATGTAAAGGGACTAATTTAAGAACTGTGTAATTTAGAAATCTCATAAGGCTAAGCAATCTGCAAACACTCAAATCACAGGATTTTAGCTCTTGTATTTCTAGTTTCCACAAGCAACAAGAAGTTAATTCATTACTTTGCCAAATTAGAATTTTAAGACTAACTTCAGTATTGTTTCAAAAAACCAAAGTCTGTCTAGGTGAAGTAATTTTAAGAGGCAAATTTTGCAGAAACAGAAAACAGTTAAAATATAATTACATTCCTTACACCATCAACATTAAACACAACTACAGAAATTATACACAATGCAAAAGACTCAGTACAACAGTTAGATTTTTACATAGCAAAGTTCTTATTTTAGTGTTTCTACTTTTACCTGCTCTTTAAAAAACACTTTCACCTGATCATATGGGATACTACAGACATAAAAGCAATAAATATGGAGTTAACATCAACAAGAAGGAGTATTCTTTCCTTAAATTCTGGGAAGATGATTTTGTCCCTGCTGTGATGTTGTTTTAGTAACAAGACTCGCTGCTGAGTGGTCAAGAACATTTCTTTCTCACTTCTAATGTCTTTTCATAGCAAGGTTTACCAGCCAAAGCCGTGTCATTGTAGTGCAAACTTAATGATCAACTGCAAGTTAAGTTCTACAAAGATTAGTCATTCCAAGCAGTAGCTACCATCACATTACCACCTTTAAAAAAGACCCCAAATGTTGCAAAGTAAAAACAGCCTGACTTTGGAGAGGCCAAATATGATTCTAAGATCATTTCAGGTATGAGAATCTGTTCTTTAACAGGGTCAGCTTTCTACCGTTTTACAAAGCAGGAATATAGCTGAAGACTTGTATATTCTTCCAGCTGCTGGTTTGCAACTGGCACTAAGGAAAAGAAAAGAGCAGCAAGCAGCAATTACATACTGAAGCATGAGAAGGAAACAAAAAATAAAACATGGTAGGCAAGAAACCAGCTGGAAGGCTGAAGTTATAATCAACTTGGATAAAGTATACAATGATGAGAAGAGAAGGCTATTATTTCAGGGTAACATGGAAAGGAAGAGACTTACCCAATCTTGTGAGATCTATACCTTTTTGATTGCCCATAAAAGAAAAATGTCTATATAAACACATTAAGGGGTGCTTAAGCACATTATGGGTGCTTATAGTAGAAATGCAGCAGTGGGGTTTTTACTATGTTCAGAAAAATTAGTTGAATCAGACAGAAAGGAGGAATGAAGAGGGGATGAATGGGTTCTTCTGAAACAATTACTTTGAAAGCTAAACCACTGAATGCTTGTCTACACAGAAAACATCTCTTGATAGCTTTCTGACAGACTATTAAGAGATCAACCATGCATTCCTATTTAAACAAAAATTGTACCAAAGTGTATGCATATCCACTTCAACACGGATCTTGCAGTCCAAAGATCCTCGGGTTATTTACAAAAACATCTTTTGGCCACTACATGCTTCAACAGAAGTAAACAATGCTGGAGCTGCAAATACACAAGACTGACATACACTGGACAATATTCTGTAAAGTGTCATTCTACTTAAGAGGAGGAACTTTTTAATCTGAAGTTCCTGTTTTATAGTAAGGTATTGTATGGTTCTAAAACCACTTTCTGTATTTTTTACAGACTACATATGCATACAGCTTACTCCTGTCATGGGGACTGTAAATTCACACTAAGAAAACAGAAGGTAATTGTAAAAAAAAGTATTATAACAGCATTTTAATGCAATCAGCATTTGGAAATATGGAAAGCCAGCTTGTTATCTGCCATCTATGCAAAATATCTGTGACTTCATGGACTACAACGCAGCAAGTTTCTCTTCTAGATTTGTAACTCATTTTTCTCTAATAACACAGAGGAAAAGTAAAAAGTGAAAGGGTATTTCAGACAACCAAAGTGTAGAAAAAGTGTGAAACTCAAGAATAAACCTAGCTTATGAGGTTACTCAAACAGCTACAATTTTGAAGCTGACAAAATCCAAAGGAATCAAGAGTGAAGGTAAGTTAATAAGATCGTTAGTAACAGTCTTACATTGAAATAGATTTTAACAAAATATTTAGACAGAGCACACATTAAATGTCTTACTTTTCACAGCCATTTCTTTCAAATAGTTTAAACTGTAAAGATGGTAACTTTATGGTTATAGACCAAACTGTGTAGCCTCACTCTTAAGATCTGGTTAAAAGGCTTTAAATTATTAGAACATTATCAGTTACTCAGAAGCAGTCTCCTAGAAGGGAGAGTGTTCTACAGATGTGTCTCTTGGCTTTCAATACCAAATTTGTTAATGAAAACCAGGATGCTATCTTCATCCACCTGTCTGGTATTCCCCCCTACAAACTAGTATAGCAAGAACTGGTTGGCCAACTGTCTGGGAAGCTGACCTCTATTTATGTACACCGCCTCCAAGTATTAGACTGTATTAGACAGGGAAACAGATTTGGCTTTTAAAACTATACTGTCCTAAAGCTAGTATTACTTGTAGTGGTATAAATCATACCCTGTGATTGCTCCTTAGATGCTACTTCAGCCTGAATAGCCTCCACTGATGCTTCAACCGAACAGGAGGGAACAGGAACACTCACACTGTTTCTGCTTTGTGAGGGCTGTAAAGTCTCAAACTTCCGCAGCAACTTTTGTAAGAGGTGATGTGGTGAAGGACTAAGTCATCAAGCTTCCATATACTAAGCACTGATGTTTTTACTTTATCAAGATGCAACGCTTAAATATTCAAAGCACAAATTAGTCATCCTTACCTTGCTTCTGTTCTTCTCTTGACTGTGTTCACAACTGTCCTGCCCGCTCTGAGTAACGTGCAGGCTGCTACTAGAAATCTGAGGCTCCTTGTGGCTGTCTCCAAACCAAGAGAAAGGCATGCAAGTAGGAACAGGGGAATCTGAATCTGATGCAGACAGATTGTTGCCAGAGTCATCCAACAGTTCTCGGGAACCTCTGAAACAGGTAGATTAAATTGTGTTTAAACAACAACAGTAAAAAACCCCACTCGCCCTCCAAACACTCCCCCCCCAAACAAACTCAAAACACACACCACTCATTTTTACCCATTTCACAGCACAGTTGACATATTTTAAATGAAAACTGATACTTGCCTTTAAATATGCATGCAAAATAATTTGAGTTATTGAACAACACAAATTTAAGAGTTTTTGCAGTATTTCACACAACAATTTAATAATTTCAAATAATTTGCTAATTTAGTTTACTCAGCATTCACCTTCCTAAGCAAAATACAGTTTTTCTATTTAAGATAGGGTACAACATGTCAATCTCATGAGCCACTTTAAAATGTAACCTCACTTTACTGTTTCCTCTATAGTATTTATGTATTTTTCTTATTTCATGAGATTAGCAGCTCATCTCCACATCATTATACTAATCTTCTCAGAATTTTACCACTGTTATACTTGAATGTACTTTAAAGTCAAACAGTAATGATAGTTTTAAAGAAATACTTAGGTTAAAAATTTTAAGAATGCAGCATGTATGTATCGAACAAACAAAATAACTACCTGCTATCCAGAGAACCTCTTAGATTTTCTTTTTCTTGTTTCTTGCCCTTGCCCCCAGATTTCCGTAATCCACTGAAGTGAAAAAACAGTTCTCAGAGTTTTCATTTACACAGTGCAAGGTTTTTTTTAATCAACAAGCTAGTTTTTACATTTATTTCAACTGTTACAAAAAACCACATTTAGGTTGTTACACAGAGCACGATATTGCAGATTATGCATGTGGGTAAAAAAGTACTGTCATTCATACTTTATTTAAGAACCACGAGAAAACTATGACAGTACCTTTCAAAGACCACATATAATCAAAACAAACACAGAAAATGCCCAAGGAAACTTAGCATATAGTGGATACAAGCAAGAGGAAGAATACAGTTTTATTGCTATATAAGTGTTCATATGCAATGCAGAGTGACTTGATCTAAGCCACTAACACTCTGTGTGTGAAATAAGTTATCGTTTTTACATTATATATTATGATTTATTTGTTGCAGTACCAGTCTGAGTCTATCAAGTTAGTTGGCTTCAACGAGCTTTATACCTGCCTCCAAAGGAGCAAAGCTTATTGCAAAATGTAGCAACTCTTCTCTGAAATTCCCAGTTACCACGCTGCATTTCCAGATAACATGCAGCTTGCACTTTTCTTTTACCCCTGTTTGCAATCTCATCTTCTACAAGAAATTTAGAAATCCATTCATCACTTCTGCCCGCCTCCAAGGAACAGTTCAGTAAGCAGCTACTATAGCCAAACCCTATGTAATGACACGTCTACAGTAGAAGGAATTAAGGCAAGACAGGTATCTATTTTAGACTGCAACACCCACAGGACACAACATTAGAGTCTAGGCTCCAACAATATTTTGGCATAAAACTACACATGGATTTGCAATTTAATTCACAGAGAAATTGTGTATTCAGATAAAAACTGAAGAACCCCAAGAAATTCTTTGAGGGGAAAAAAGTACAGATAAATAAAATCAAAATGTGGTAGAAACATTAATGCACTACGTTACATGTAGAAACATTATAAATTCAAGATGAAAAAGACTCCGTCCAGTGGTGTTGCTATGAAGTAGCATTACTGGACTTCCACAATGTCTTTTTTTTTTTATAGAGAGAGCATGATATTATCCAAAAGAGCAGTGAAACCCATTTATTTCCCAATGAACACAAATAAAATCCTACCCAAAATCTGGAAATCTCCTTTTGGACTTCCCTGATGATGTTCCTTCATTTGTTTCTACTGTCCTGTCTTCATTTTTCTTTTCTTCTGCTTTTCATAGAGGGGTGAAAAATAAAAATGTTACTCTAAAAATACTTTTAAGTTTCAAGTCGTTGTGATGATGTTTCTAAGTAAATAAGATACTAAAACCTGAGTAACTGTTAAAATTCATCTTCACACATGCAGATACTAGCTGAAAATACTACAGCCATATCAACATAAGTAATTCTCTATGACATCTTCCTGTCATTCTGGCTGTGCTGTACCACTGAAAAATGGCAACACAACAGTTGCTTATGACTGATCAAAAATATTGCTTTTGATAAAAAGTAATTCTATACTGTCCACAGAAAGATAAAACCACAGTATTTTGCTTCAATGAATTACAAGCAAAAGATAGTTTAAGATAGGTTTAGAAAAAAGTACCTCTTTCTTTTGCAAAATGCCAATTTCAAAATACAGCAGTGAGATCACCAGTGTAAGATGCATGAAACAGTTTTAAAGCAACAGTTGAGCAAGTACAGCATTTAATCGTCCTTTATTACACTTGAAGTATTATAAAATGTTCCTTTTGCATGTTTTCTGGTTCAGTAGCTAGTCCAGGCTAGCTACTTGGAACATGGGCTATGTATGCAAGCTGCGAGCTCCAGAAAGCGTGCCTAACAAGCACGATAGCCAGTACCTGGAGAGCAGATAGATCCTAACAAGCTGAGTTTCTTGGAAACAGTATGCAAACTGTGCATATTCTGTGCATATTTCTTTATTCTAAAGAAATAATTGGGACTTTGAAGCTCCTCCAAGACAATGGTATTTTCAAAACTGGAATACAGCCTGCTAGGATCCTGTTTTTCACCAGAGGGAGCATGTTCAATTCCAACTGCTCAATTATTAACTTAAAGTGACAAACTTAAGCATCACACTACCTCTTCCCAATGGATTGTGACAGATTACTACAAGTCCTGAACATACTTCCTTTTAAATTCTCAGGCTACTGGATTTATTTTTTTTAAGTAAGTGAAATAAGTTTCTTACTGCAAATTAGGTGTTTCATAACTAAGCTGCCTATGAAAGACATGCAGACTGCTTTTTGTGAGACAGTCAGTTTTAAGCTCTGCCTTCAAGAGAATTCCTGATGTGAAATCATGTACACCAGCTGCCTTCAAGGATCGTAAAAATAAAAAATCATGTTTACTACACAAAACTGAGGACAACTCCCCACCAACCCATCAGCTAATAATCCTTCCTGAAACATAGAACGGTTATCTCAAAGCTTACATATGCTGAATAGTCAGGATAGTCAGGGGTTTTTCCTTTTTTTTTTTTTGACATATCTGATCAATATCAGAACTTTATCTAATTAGTTAACCACTCTTTCTAATAATGTAACATCCAATAAGTTATAACTACCAGTTAAACTGGTTATTTTTCCTGTCAACTTAAATACAAAACCAGAAGAGTTAATTTTAATATTGACACTTGTTTCCACCTCTCTCTCCAAAGGTAATATTTTAGGAAAAGAGGTAATTTCTAAAATACAGTAGGTTAAATACAGACTGATACATGAATGGATGGGAAGGTAATAGAAAGAATTATCTCAATGAAATAATAGGCAGACATTTAAATATGGTTAGAAAGCAACAGTGTAGCAGAAATTAGCATTTAGTGTCATTTTGTCTACAGAGAGCAAGCTTTCAATACTAATCCTCATCTTTGATGTACTGCGTTAATTAGCTCTTCCAGTGACTGCCTATTTTAAGGAAATGTTTGCAATGCTTCAGCCATCACAAAAATTTCGTAGAAAAAGCAAAATCACTTCTATATTAGGTACTTGTTTTGCTAAGATTCCCCCCCCCTCCCCGCCCCGCGAGTAAACAAACGAAACAGAAGCTGGGGTAGAGACTATTTTGGTTTAAGACTTTATAGAAACACATAGAATGAGGAGAGTATAAAACAAATCCTGTTTTCTGGGTATTAAAAGAAAGGTTTTGTCTGAGCTGTATAGAAAAGACAGCAAGTATAATCTGCCTTTATATATTGTGCTAGCTGACTAAAGCAAATATCAAGCATTTAAAATATTTTATCTGATCCCTTTTATAATTATTCTTAAGAAAAGCCAAATATTTCTATCAAGTAATGATTAGTAGTGACTAGGCTGATTATAATACCTTTAGCCTTTTCCTAGTGAGAAATATCCTAAGACAGCAAGATGAATAATGCAGGAATTCCCATAACATTCAGAATACGTATCTTGTTTAAACACCTGGATAACGTCGAAAGCACAAAGCCAAAACTGAATTTTTCTGGGAATCGGGAAATCGGTCAAACTTACTCTCCAATACATTGCCACTTATGAGGCTAATGTTTGCAGAAATGTCTTAGGACCTTTACTGATTATCTGCAATGACTTAGCACCTCTCTAGCTTATATCAAAGCAACCATTTAGACTCTAGATTTATAGGTTTGAGCTTTTACCACACTGACTTAGGACTATTCCTTTCTGTAACTGTTAAATTGAAACGGCATTTATTCTGCAAGCACCTTTTGATTCTCGGTGCTACAAATTATTTTAGAAACGTTGAGTTTTTGTAGAAATCTGGTAACAGACGAAGGAATTAAAAGATAGGTAAGCGTATTTCAGAACATATTACTGTTGCATCAAAATCTTTCAGTACATAAAAATAGAATACAATGAACTTGCACACTTTTTTCAAACTTTCCTGAAGAGTTAAAAAGTGGGTTTAGAACAGGTATAGTTTTGTAGTTGATTCCTTTTCCCTCAAAGTAGTTTATCGTTCAATATTAATTCATATCTAAAATCTGTAATACTTTAACCCTGAGGGATTAAAATAATAATAAACCCTTACCCTTGGCCTCTTCCCCTTTCCCTAATTTGGAGCCATCTCTTCAGGAGGAGGTGAACGAGTGGTGGTTGCGCTATTTTCATTGTTTGGTTTGTGTACTGGAGAAGAGTGCGTGGAAGCAGAAGGACTTGACTCTAGAGGACTTTCTGTGCTTTCTGTTTGTTCAGGCTTTTCACTCTTTCGATCTATGTCATCCAGGCGTGGGAGAGTTAATTTTTCACTTGTTTCTACGGTCTTGGTTAGGTACGCAGTGGAAAGTTCTCTGTTGAGAGCACTGTCTTCTGAATCCTCATCCTTCAACAAATTCAATAGTTATTTTATGATAAGCTTGACATATAATCATTTGCTACCGGATCTTTTACCAGGATTTTAGGATAAGCTATGCCACACACAAAGTTCCTCAGTTTTAGATAATTTTAGCTTAATCACTTCTAGATACCATCTGAATTACATGAAGCTGATTTTATAGGCTTTCCTTTACCCACCCCTATACAGATCTTTCTTCACATCCCAAGTCATCTTTCTCTAGCCAAGTGAGAAACGTTCTGGTACATCTTGGCCACTCCAATTCAATGCAACCACTTTTCAGTCTAACTGAAGTAGTTCAATCTTCTCCCTCTGTGACAGGCTCTCTCATGTACCAACTATATACACCTCAATTCTTCAACTGTTTTTCAGAAACGTCCTAGAACATTTTACTGGTATACTTTTTATAGACAACATAACACTGTCATTATATCAAAATCTTTCAATAAGTGGAAGTAGAATACAACAACCTTGCATACTTCTTTGCTAACTTCAAATTAACTGTGCCACAAAGAACATGTCAGAGATCACAGATGTGGTATGAACCTGAACAGGGTTTTTCACTTAATACAGCAAAAAATATAATGCTTTGGCAGTCTGAATGAAGCATGGACAGACAACACTTACAATTGCAAATACAGATAAAACTGAACATACATTCAGGCTCTGGAATGCATCAGTATCTACCAGTATCGGTACCTGTAGATTTGTGGTCTGCTGTCCAGCCCCAAGGGATTCTTTCAGCTTTGATCGAGAAGGTGGTTGGCGTTTTACTTTCAAAGCAAGCTGAGCTTTTGCTTTGTGGGCACTGGTGTCTAATCTGGGAGTATCCCCAACAAAAGCATCAAAATCTGCAACAAAGAAAACAACCAAACAACCAACTGGTAGGCAAGTTCTGTAACCCACTGTCCAGAAAAACATTCAGAAATTAAATCAGAATTATTCTACCTGTTAATCATTACTATATGAAAATACCATTTCATATAATACTACAATATTCTAACATATTGTGATAGCAATTTCAAATTAATTTGAAATATATTTCTTCAATTAAAAAAAAAAAATCCATCAGGATATATTTGTATTATGGCTTCAAAACTGAATTTTCTTCTCAAATAGATGAGAATTTGTGCCCAAAATGTACTTTCCTATCCTTGTTTTAATTTACAAGACAAAAAAATGATAGCGAGTTTGGGTATAAATCATAGTTTAAAATCAATGGGATTTTAATGGACAAATCTCAGTGTTTTAGTCCCACTAACATTATCAGCTTCACTAATAGAGAATCTGAGGAAGCACAAAGATGGATCTCTCTCCATCTATCTATCTCCTCTTTCCCACTGCATTTAAAAAAATACATTACTACGATATGAAAATGTTGGGGGACCTAAACAAAAACGTCCACGCTGGTTCAGGTAAAACATTTACCCAGTCAGTAGGAAATAGCAAACACTTAACTTCTTTTAACAACAGAAAACCACTACACATATAACATCCTAATTTTTGTTAAATGCAAATCAACCTACTTACCAGAAATTAACATATCTGAAGAATTTAGTCTTTCTTCTATTGATTCTGTTTCTTTTTCATTTTCTTCTCTTATCTTTGACTGTTCATTATAATGGCCTGGACTTTGACAGCCATCTTCCAATAAACTGCCACTTCCAAACATATATGGCATTCTCTCATATACTTTTAATTTATTTTCAAGCTCTGAAATCTGCAAGAATTACAATTCAGAAGTGAGATACAACTCTCCAAGAATGCAGAAGTTTATTTCAAAATATAATACTGCTTTACTTTTTCCTGATATGTTTTCAGCTGTTCTGCATATTTGTGGTCTCTCTCTTCAAGTAGCCTTGAATGATCCTCTTCTTTTCTCATAAATTCTATTTCTCTGGTGAAAGAAATATATACATATATATGAAACAGTAATGTATAGAAATGTAGAAAAATATGTATAATAGAAATATGCACAGTTGCATTTACTAAAAAGCATTCTGTTAGTAAACATTGTAACAAATCAGTCTGTAAGGTATAACCAATTCATTAATCTTGTAACGTCACAAAATGACTTATGTATTTGTACGCTTCTACTGTCTTCAAAAGGAAATACCTAGGACACTATAATTTATTCTGGGCTGAAGCAGGATGTGTTGCAACACTTCTTCTACAAAGTTACAACCATCTCTCTACCTTTAAAAGTGGCAAGTTGCATATACATTTAAAGCATGAAATATATGCATGACTCCAATCATTACATCTTACTCTCTTCCACAAAGGTACATGCACACACAGTATTTTGCTTCCAAAAGCTATGGTAGAATTCTTTGTAGGAAAAGAAACTGCGTTTCAAGTTTCTACTTGGTTCATCCTACAGAAATTGCAATGTCTGGATTTTACAAAAAGAAACAATGATTACAAAAAGGAAACAAAAATAAAAGCTGCTTTTTCCTGCAAGTCAGACGGAATAACATACAAAAGCAGAAAATGTGTAGAACATCTACACAAAATGCGAAAGCTTCAGGGACAGTCAAAGAAGTAATGGAAATTTGCTAAATGGTGAGGAAATGGAAACTAGCATGTTAGCAGTCATCTTAACGTACTTTTGAACTTCCATGAGGACAAGCTTGGCTGGAGAGGGAAAAGGAGACTTTTTTAAAAGCTTACCAAACAGCATAAAAATGCACTGTGAAAAGTAACATTTCTGGATGTGGACTACAGAGCAAAACATCATCCAAACTGCCTTTACAAATAAGTAGCAAGTGGAGAAATTGGGGACAGGAGAATTGTATGCTTACAGTAACTATCAAAAGCAACAGTTGTATTCTGTATTATCAAGACACTTCTACAAGTATTTTGCAATTAGCTCTTGTTTAGCTAAGAGGAAAGAAGGTAGAACTAATAGACACAACTGCATGACAACAGTGTTCAAGTTCTACACAGGTATATCTAATAAGTAATATTACTTCTACTAAAAACCCCAAACCTGTTAACAGATTGAAGATACTGTTTTCATGCTGCCATTTTGATAGGCTAGATACATATCCCAAACTCTTGATTTTTCTCAGAATTCATTTTATTCCTCCTACAAGATATAACTCCTAACTCAGACTGAATCACATGTAGCTGGCTTTTATTATATATCCTTTGACGCTTACTCTATCTGGAACACTAAAGTTGGTCAAAGCTAGAGGGGTTTTCACAAACAGCAAAAGGTATTGCCAAATATCTCATGCCAAATTTCAAGTAGTCCTTCCAAAAGTATAGATGCATTACAGTTTCTCAACTAAGTTGTTTTAAAAATTTATTATAGAAGTATTAAATAATTTTTCCTAAGCTTAGAATCAAAAGCAGCAGCAAAATTTTTGGAGAACCTTTCCAGAAGCTGGTGACTTAAGGTATGGAAGAATTCAGCACATATAGCCCACTGCTTCCCTAAACTCTGAAAAATGAAAAGAAAGCGTTAAGCAAACCCTAACCCTAGGTATTGTTGTCAGTTTTCCCTATAATGTACAAAACATACAAGCAAGAAATAAGAGACATGGTATTTTGGGGTACTTACTTTTGTTGGTAATCTTTAAGCAATTTCTTGGCCTTGTTGTATTTCTTTTCAAGGGCATCACATTGTTCTTGAGTTTCCTTGAGCTGGTCATTTACTGTTTTGCATAAACTCTGTGCCTCTAACCAGTAGGTCTCTAACTTTTTAATTTTCTCTTTGCTTTCATCTAGGTTTTGCTGAAGTTGGGCTCGACTCAGTTTCCATTCATTTTTTTCTGCTTCAACAACTTTTAACTGAAAAGATTAATACTTAAGGAATTAATCTAAACTAAAAGATGAAATAAAAAAGCTGTTTATACATGTTGAAGTAGATAATAGCTAATAACAATTAAATACTTATCAGTAACATTAAAACAAGACACTGAAGTTTTAAAAAAAAAAATCGTATCAACTCTTCCAACCTTTGCTAATCCAAGTAATCTTAGAATTCAAACCCAAGAGTCTTTTACTACTTCCTCATTAGTATTTCTTCTTTTTAAAGAGATAAGTTGAATAAGACCTTTATTGTTAGCTTATGTTGACTTGTTCAGGATCTCACCATCTCTTAATACCTATTTTTACTACCTTCAAAGGCAACTGGAAATAGAGAATCTTAAGTTAAGACAAGCTCCCTGTCCTACTGCTTTGTTACCAACAGATTTTTGAATAAAGCGAATGAGACCAGTTGATCTTCCTCGGTACTTTTATAAGACGTCGGTCTTCCTAATAAATTATGATACACCCATGCTTTGCTTTCCTGGGGCTAATGTATAAAAACATCAAACATTGCCTCAACAAAGGAAAGGGCTGGGGCCCCTTGAGCTTGACAGCAGCCAGATTAGAAAAGGGAATGTTAACATGGTAAATTCTCCAGGCCTTGGAAGAGTGAGCAGGCAGGATACCAATTAGTTTGTCCATGCCTCCTTCTTTGGGGACACCATTTACACTGAGGAAATCACTGCTTTTGAAGCCAGTTAAGATCACCTGCTAATGGAACAGAGATGTTGAAAGGGCCAAGAATTTCTTGAATTAAAAATAGGGCAGTAAGTTGTACTGACACCAATATTTTAAACAGCTTTTTAGCAATCCAGTTGGGCCAATTTTCAAGAATACTGCAAGGAAGAGGAGCACTGTCAGAAATCGAAATCAGAACTGTTATAAGAACACAAAGAAGTTTTGGCTGCCTTGCGTCTTCTACACTTGGAGCTCTGAACATTTGTAGAGTGCAAAAAAACCCCAGTAGATACTGTTATTCAAAATTATTGCAATGTGAAGCCCTATCCCCTCCCCACTTGCTACCTGTGCCCAGCAATGTGCTGCAACTTGTCCTAGGGTACACATTTCTCTGCAAGGAAACACAGAAGGGCAATGGAATAAAAGCAGCTGCTCACCTACAACAGATATTTCCAGAAAAAGGCCATGTACAGATCTCCATCAGTGGAAAAAGCAGCAAAAAGAACCAGAAACCCTTTCTCAGAGAAAGCAGAAGCGTTGAGCCAATCCTCACCAAAAAAAGCTGGAAAAAATTCTCTCCCC